TCTTCTTCTTCTTCTTCTTCTTCTTCTTCTTCTTCTTTGTCTTCTTCATCATCTTCTCCTCCTCCTCTCCTTCTCCTTCTTCTACTCCTCTTCCTTCTCCCCCCTTTCCTCCTCCTCCTTCCTCCTTCCCATCCTCTTCCCCGTGTCCTCCTTTTTTTACTGCACTGGCTGATAATAAAATATAGACTTCTAAACTCCAATTTCAAAAACTAAATCTCAATGGTAATTGGTTAAGGGTTGAAGTGGTTGAAGTGAACCTCCTACATGCAAAACAAAAGGTCTCTTGCTATAATGATATGTAAGAATGAGTTTGGAAAGTGGGTGGGGGAGATAAATGCTATCTTGGAAACAGCCAGATAAGAAAGGGCATAGCCCACAGCTGCATAATGAGCAGAGAAAGAAGTTCAGCAGGGACACACACACACATACACACACACACACACACACACACATCGCCACAAGTTCCTAGGTGGCAAAGGAGACAATGTGAGATTTGTACTTTCAGACTTGCAAGATTCTGTTAACACAATCTTACAATAATATAGAATTGGTCATGTTTCTTGTCTGGTCTGCCAAGAAAGGCTGATACCTGCTGATCTTCTGCATTCCTTTTCATAATACATCCTTCTCCTGCTTCTTCCTTCATGCCCATTGGAGTGCTGGTGGAGGGACCCATTGCTGTTGCCATAAGTCTGAATCAATTATTTGCAAAGTGCTTTTGTAATAAACATAGATCCTCGGGTTGCCCTAAATCCATAGGTTGACTACCCTTGTCTTAAAAAGATTTCAGGAGTGGGAAAGACCCAAGGATCTGCTGCCAATAAAGGCTGGCAATATTGATGTTTCTTTCACTTAATATGAAACAACTTCTCAATGCGATGCTTTCCTGATGTGCTTGGGGGACAGCTTCCAGAGTTCCTAATCATAACATTCAAAAAGCGTGTTGGCTAAAAATTCTGAGACACTCAACATGTCTATGAAGCACTAGGTTGCAGAAGACAGACATAATTGTATCATCATATCTAATTATATTTACACTGTTTGGGTTTGGGAAAAGCAAAGTCTGAATTATTCACTCTGTATTAAATATGAACTTGGCCATCTATACCCTGTGGCATCAAATCTACAGGTGAATGCAATTCTGCTCTCGTTTTTTTCTTATATTGTTTGTTTTTGAGGAGGGGAATCCTTTCTTTGACCCAACTTACGTATAGTTTAATATTTTATACATTAATCTATATTATGAAAAAAGTACAGGAGTCAAAAATAAGCCAAGTAGAAATACAGAATTATAGCAATAAGTTTAACATGTAAACATATTGGAAGAATCTCTTTGAAGGCCACAGGAGAATCTCCCAGAACAGAGTCTTCCACTGCAGAAGACTCCTTATCACCAGCACCATCCATCAGATGGTGAGACTCCTGTACTTTAATCATACCTTTCATAAGACTTTGGTTTAACCATTCTGGGTATTTTCATTTGAAGCTTAAAATAACTCTTCTTTCCACCATGGTTTGTAGCTCAGCTGTATATTGGGAAACATCTTGTCTTTTCCTGCTTCCTCTTCCCCTTCCACTAAAGTGGTGCTCACATTGGATCTATGACAATTCACCATGGCCAACTTGCCATGGCCAACTCACTGCAGGTCAACCAGCTATGGCCAATTTGTCACAGGATAAATTGTTTCAGGCAAAAGTTACCCTAGTATCAAATAAATGATGGAATAGAATCATTAAAGAAAGGGTGCAAAAGGACGGACAGAATGCAAATGGCAAAAATGAAAATATTTTTATTTATTTTAAATAATTAAATGGAATTGTTAAATTGTGTCACAGTGAGTTGCCACACGGTGAGTTGACCATGGCGAGTTGTCCTGCAGTGACTTGGCTGTGGCAAGTTGGCCGCAGTGCCTTGGCTGTAACAAGTTGATTCATTCCCACTCAACATTGGGAGTCAGTAAGGTTCCACAGTTTTTATTTGTTCTTTTAATTTAAAAGCAATAGGAGGTAGGCTCATATAGGTCCCACAGGTATTTTTAGAAAATAAAATAATGTGTGAGAGTAGCTCAGTGCTATCTTCAAACAGAAAAAGACAATAGAGGAAAATTAAGCTGGAGTTGCAAAAAGCATTCCATATCACTAAGGAAAGAAATGAACAACCTCAATTTGCCTTCTGGTAAATCCCATAGCATCCATCTAAAATGCCCGCAATCCCAAAGGATAATTTAATCCACCACATGATAACAGAATCAAATAAAGGGGAACATGTTCCTTATTAGCTACTTCTGTAAAAATTTCTCAATATCAATTATGTTGGAAATATGCAAATCTGCAAAGATTATGTTCTAACTGTATGGATGTCTGAATGCTGATTTACCTCACAACAATACAATCTGTTTTACACTTTACCCCTGAAGGTAAAATTGCACTTTCTCTGAAAGAGTTGTTTCTTCATAAAGTGGTACTTTCTTGAGCCTTGATAGATAACAGAATATTGGTCTCCTTCAATGTATGCTTGCTTAAAAATTCAGTAATTAGTCTTTGTTCTGGCCGTTAAACAGCAAAATGTAATTTATTTTTATCAGGTAATGGTGGAAGGAGAAATTGGAAAGGGAAATGGAGGAATTGCAGTTGATGATATTAACTTTGACAGCCACATAACACAAGAAGAATGCCGAAGTAAGTATGACTTGGTAGTAACTATAAAATTTAACATACTGAACACCGTGGATTCTACTGGTGATTGTTATTGTTGTTATTACATTTTTATTTCCACCTTTTTAATAAATGCTCAAGGCAAAGATTCTACCTATACATAACCTAAAGGTTATAGCAATCTTGTTAACAAATGTTGGATTTTATACATCGGTAATTAATTTACCTTTATTTTTTTTCCTACCTGTGTTTTTCATATTTCTCTTCTGAACAAGTTACTGCAAGAGCCTAGTCCTGTGCAAAAATAGTGATAAAAATGTTTGATTTTGAGTAGCTTAAGCTTAAATAAGCTTCATAGCTGACCTGGAGTGTGAGACATCCTAACTAAGTCTGCTTAAAATAGAATTAGGTTAACCATTCATAAAAATATTAGTTGATGCAGCTGTAACCCTATAATATTAATGCCAATCCCAGAATGGACTACAACAGAGGTTCTCAACCTTTTCTTCACTATGAAATCCCTTTAAATAGCTTCTTTGGCATAGACCCCCAAGATTTAACTCAAAATTTAAATTATAACATTTCTTCAAACCTTCCAAGGAGTCCATGGACCACAATTTAGAACCACTGGACAACAATAAAACCATCCAACACTACATAAATTAAAATCAATTAAAATTATTGCAGTTGAAACCATCAAAATAGTTTACCCTTAAAGGTCTGAGTGAAAAGATTGATCCTAAACTTACTATAGGTAACCTACTTACCTTTAGGCTAATTTTGGAATTAATTTCACATGTTTTTGGTCATTCGGGTCAAAGTCTTATCAAATAAGAATTTAAACAGTAGATTTCTGTTCTAATATCTTTAGATATGCACTGCAGTTAACATAATTATTTTTCATGGCTAAAGGATACTTATGACTGATTAATGGCATTGGTTTTCAAGATTATAAATGCAATGAATGAAACATGCTAATTTTATACGTGGATTTTCACTTCTCTGAGACAAAAATCCCCTGCTGATAGCACTAAAACTATGCCATGCTATGGTAGAGAGAGGGCTTTTTTCTTCTTTGCTAATTTTGGAAAAATCAGGTTAATGAACAACTCCATCAAGCTAACATAATCATGCTTAGAAAAGAAATAAAAATTCTCAGTATCATTATTGGCAGCATGATAACCCGTCAGTATTTGCCATTATAATAACCAATGTCAATTTTCTTTTGCTTAACAGAATCAAATGATGCAGGGAATGAACTAGTTGAAGTAGAACCAGATATTAATCAGTCCAATCTAATAAAGTCATACAATTATTACTAACATGCTTGTTTGCCTATAGCACTCAATATTGTTTACATGTTTTGCATTTTTTATGTAAGAGAGGAATAAATGCAGATAATATAATAACCAATAATACAGTGTAAGTTTTTTAAGAGGATTGTGTCAAATTCATCAATATCCATTGCTTATATTGTTTTTAGCAAAATAGCCATGATCAAATATCTATGGCGATTCTCAGTCATTCAGGTCATAGTTGTCCAAAAATGCTTTTTCAAAAGGCAACTGGACTTTGTTTTTCCTTGAAAATGTTTCACTTCTCATCCGAGAAGTTTCTTCAGTTGTCATCCTAGAACTTCTTCAGAACTGAAGCTTCTTGGATGAGAAGTGAAATGTCTTCAAGCCCAGTTGACTTTTGAAACAGCACTTTTGGGACAGTCATGTTCAAACGTATCAACAGTTGCTCTAATGAATGCATTGTAGTGGCAAATCAAAGAGGTATTTTCCTTACAACTGGCCTGGAGAGTGGTTCTGATCATTTTAATTCTTCAGGAAAAAACATTAGAGAATCTAATTGCAATCTCTCCAACTCTCCCATAATTGCACTTGAGTAAAAGGGGGGGGGGGCAAAAGATGATGTTCTTGGAATTCTTTAGCTTGAAAATACTGAACATCTGACATCAACTACTGCTAGTTCCTAAGCCTTTAGAACAAGAACTATTTCAAAGCCAACCAAGGGCAGACATCTGGTGAAATTTGTGTTTTCCAGCTGCCTGCTCCTTCATAGAAAAAGGGAGGGAGGGGAGGAGGGGAGGGAAGAAGGAAGGAAGGAAGGAAGGAAGGAAGGAAGGAAGGAAGGAAGGACTCAATTTTTGGCTTATTACTCAGGGGATGCATCTCTTAATAGGAACCTCTGCTTGCATTAGAAGTAGACAGGATTTTTATATAAAGTTTTTTACATTAATGCAGTACTGAAATCAAATATGCATTTGAGGGGGAATATTGTTCTAAAACTACTTTTTTAATATTTTGACTTATTCTCAGGGCATTTAAGAATTTATTACCAAAGTATTCTTGATGATTTTTGTGAACTTATTTTGGAGAGTAAGGCTACTTTGGCAGAAAGGCTATTGCTTGGATTATACATCTTTCTATAACTCTGAAGTTTCTCCTATGAACGATATTTCCAAATCAAAATGACACACGAAAATGGTTACAAGAGATTAATTTAATAGAAACCAGGAAGGGCTACAGTTTGCTGGATAAATTACTGTATAATGAAGGACAAGATTCTTATGAGGAGCCAATTCTATTTCACAAAATCAAATCTATAATTTTTCTGCAGTGCTGTATTCTCAGCTGCTGTATAATTTGTACAATATCTTGTAACAGGACAAAGGCAATGGTTAAATTTGTTCCAGTTTTTGGAAACAGGGAAAAAAAATATCTCTGTTTCCATTGAGTTGAAACTGGAGATGAAGCACTTTCTGCAACCTAGTCCATACTCCTCTTCCAGTGCAGATGTAAAATGTAGAAAAGCAAAACCAAAAATCAATCTCTTAATTCAATGCCTAAATTTTAGGTACTATGTTTAATGCTTAAATGAGGATGAAAAATATATTCTCAGATATTATGAAATATAGCAACACACACACACACACACACACACACCCCAGAAGTGGTATTCAGCAGGTTCTGACCAGTTCTGGAGAACCGGTAGCGGAAATTTTGAGTAGTTCAGAGAACCAGCAAATACCACCTATGACTGTAGATTTTACAGTATCCTTCCCCTGCCATGCCCACCAAGCCACTCTCACAGAACTGGTAGTAAAAAAAATTGAATCCCACCACTGATACACACACATGTACAAGAGAAATGAAGAGACTTCCAATTCAAAATCAGTGACCAACTTAAGTTATAAACTTACAGCATTGTCACACAATACCAGTTAAGCTCGTCTATCTTCTTTTCTTTTTTCTTTTTTAATTTACCCAGCTTTAGTTATGCTGCCACCCCATGATTTCTTTGTCTCTTTGTTCTTCTGTAGAATTTACTCCTGATTACCGTGAAAATGGGGAGCCTCATAATGACAACATCTCCCGAAAGCCAGGCAATGTGCTGAAAACACTTGACCCTATTCTTATCACCATCATCGCTATGAGTGCCCTGGGTGTGTTGCTGGGCGCCATCTGTGGGGTCATTCTGTACTGCGCCTGTTGGCACAATGGGATGTCCGATAGAAACTTATCTGCACTGGAGAACTACAATTTCGAACTTGTGGATGGTGTGAAATTAAAAAAGGATAAACTGAACACACAGAATACGTATTCAGAAGCATGAGGTAGTGGAGGAGGAGGTGGAGGAGGAGGAGGAGCTCAAACATTTCAAACAATTGAGACAGAAAAACTTATAGATCTCCCTTTTCTGTACAGGCTGAAAACTGCGTTGAAGACGCTGAGCCAAGCTTTTCTCAGGAGCTTCAGTGGGTGTACCAGATATTCTAAGACACGGACAACAATCTGTGTTAAACAATCTGAATCATGTACAGTCTACTTCTGTTTCTGTTTTAATTTGAACTATTCAAATGCTGGTGTTGAGACCAAGTATGATTCACTTAAGAGGGGTATTCTGTTTTGGTTCTGCCTTTTTTTCTTCTTCCTCTTCTTCTTCCCTTCTTCTTCCCTTAGCCCCTCCATTCTTTGTTTTCTTCCCTTCTGTCTCCCCACCCCACTCTGGGCCCATAAGTACTTGTTTTTTTACTGTGCAAAAATCCAAGATGCTGTCAAAACATGTAATTTGGCAGGAGTCCATTGGATGGACATCCTGTTTGTAGCTGAGTGCCCAGAAGGAAGAACATCAGAGTAACAGCAATTTAATGGATTCCTGATACTGTATTTGTGTATAATTGCTTGTGTCGTGCATAGGCAAAGGAGGGTTAGGGTGTTTGTTTTTGGGGGGTGGTGGGGAAGTACTGTATAGTCAGTACTGGTATAGTGTGTCAACTCTGTTAACCAAGCAATACGGTCAGAATTTATTGGTGTTTTTCAGTGTTGTACTCCACCTTTGTGCTTGTGAATTTCATACAAGAGATATGTGCCATCACCTACGAATAATTGGCAAACCAGGCATCCTGCATTGAATTATTGAATTGTAATGAGAAAAAAGCAAAAGTCCTTGGCACTGGCTCGTTTATGTCTTCTCAAGTGCCTTTTTGTTGTATTGCTCCTCATTGCTTTATCATCAATTCCCTCTCTCTCTCTCTCTCTCTCTCTCCCTCCCTCCCTCCCTCCCTCCCTCCCTCCCTCTCTCTTCCTTGCTCTTTTTTTTTTTGCCTAAGAGCTACTGACTAACAAGAAATTATATTTTGCCATAAGTAAAACCTTAGGAAGGCAAGGACTAACAAAAAAATCTTGGCAACTTTCAGCTAATTCCTTCGCTTCCTATCATTATTGCTCAACCCCCTTTTTCTTAAAACCTGCAGTTTCGCCCCTGTCCTTCTATCTTTTATTGTTTTTTTCATACAGAATGTATTTTCAAATATAAGCCCTCTCTGTTTTTGCTTTTCCCCTCTTCTGTCTCTGAATAGATTGTTACATAAGCATTTGCCATTGTCAAGGTAAGGAAAATGTAGCTAATTTGCTGGTAATGGCAAAAAAGAAGATTTTGTTACATTTTGTCTTTGCTTTTATTGCTGTATTTTAAAATAAGGGATATGTCTTAATATTACCTTCCAGAGTTGATCTTTGGGTTTCTTTTTAGCAGCATTAACTGACGTTATGTTTTTTTTTTCTCTCTCCTTTAGTAAGCCATGAAGTAAGTCTTTTAATTCTGTCCAAGATGTTCATATAAATCGATGGCAATGAGAATTTGTTGTTGATGTTGAAGAGCAAAGAGTGTTTTTCTCATCCATCTAGCTATCCAATTTAAGGGTAATTGTTTCTGCGCAGGACTCATTCATGCTAATGTAGAGGCATACTAATATTGCTACAAATAATAATGCATTGACTTTGCTAATAATGGATTTGCTTTAAAAAAACATTGTATAACATGTCCTAAACTGGATTTAAAATGAGTACTGTTAACATTCTAATGAGAAGGAATTGGGGCTCTTGTGCTGCTTCCATTCGGTTATCAATAGTAGCCATGTTTTAAGAATTAAGTCAATCTCCAAAAGACACAATTAACTCTTAAAGATCTTAAATCATAACAAGCATTCAGGGCACTATGAACTGATTTTGTCACATTGTTTTATGTGGTATTCAACTGCACCTTTGATTAAAAACAGCTGGTGTTCACCACACCAGAGCAAATGTTTAACAACTCTGCTCTTGTTGTAAATATGAGTTATCATCCAAAGAAGGTTTATTGAAGTCAAATATCTACCATGAAAAAAGAATCATAGTGACAAAAGATTATATGAATCAATTGTTTTAATTATCCAATTTACACTGTAATTGAATGATCTAGTTAATTATCCCAAAGAGAAGATCAAATGCAAATAATTTTTACTGCACTTCTTTCATGTACATTTAGTTGCATCATGTATTATGGACTCTATGTCAATAATTACATAGGCATCTTAAGATCTGTGACAAAAGTGCGTACAAACATTATTTAAGAGGGGCAGATTTCATTGCAAAAGGATGTACTTTCTAGAACTCAAAAAGTAACAGATACAATATTAATCTTGGTATGGAAAAAGGGATTTTTAACCATTTGTGCACATATGAATTAAATCTGCTGCCTATAAATCAGACTTCAGGTAATCCTCAACTTGAGGATTGAGCCAAAAATGTATGTTGTTACCTGAGACATTTATTAAGTGAGTTTTGTCTCATTTTATGATCTTTCTTGCCATAGTTGTTAAGTGAATCACTGCAGTTGATAAGTTAGCAACATGGTTGTTAAGTGAATCTGCTTTCCCCATTGACTTTACTAGTCAGAAGGTCACCAAAGGTGATTATATGACCTTGGGATACGGCAACTGTCATAAATATGAACCAGTTGCCGAGCATCTGAATTTTGATCACATGAGCATGGGGATGCTGCAAAGGCCATAACTGTGAAAAACAGTCATAAGTGACATTTTTTCAGTGCTGAACAGACACTAATTGAGCTGTTGTAAGTTGAGGATTACCTGTAGTAGGCTATGTAACTCGGTATTGACTGTTATAATGAGCAGCAATTTTTATTATTTCTCAAATTAAGTCTCATCTTTCTTAATTCATGTGTATGAAATGATATGCTGGTGTCTGAATTTATGTAGGTAAAGATGTACTCTAACATTGGGCTTTTATTTCCATTCAATATCATCAATTCATTATTCAACTCTTCAGTTATTTTCAGTCTATTCTGTAAAAATCCTCTTTACTGAAGACCATTACGTTTAGGCTGATACTGGATAATATGAAAGCTGCATCATTGATTTAAGCATGTGAATAGCCACATCATGCTTTAAAACAGCTGAAAAGCATACATGGGTAAACTATCCCTACCATCATTCTTGAGTGGAGTACAATCCATACCATCACTGTGTTTACTTAACACAAACAAATGTGTTAGGCATTGTATAGAACCCAAAGTAGGCATTCTCACTACATCAGAAGAACTAACGGAGAATTTGTGACTGTCCAAATATTGGATTCCAATTTTCATTAATCTGAATTAATTAGACTAATGATCTTGTAGTGCAGGGGTGTCAAACTCAAGGCCCACGGGCCAAATCCAGCCGATGTGCTGTTTAAATCTGGCCCATGGGGTTGCCCTGGAGATAGCAAAGGACCAGTCCACAGTGCCTCTGGCAGCTAAAATGGGACGCGGGTCCCACACGTCTTGTTTTGGCTGGCAGAATGCTGCAGGAGGCCAGACAGGCCGAAAACAAGATCTGACCAGCAGAGTCTTAAATCTGGCTCACAGGGTCAGCCTAGAGATAGCAAAGGACCAGGCCGTGGTGCCTCTGGCAGCCAAAATGGGGCAGGTGGCCCCCCGTGCCCCTTTTTGGCCAGCAAAGTGCTGCAGGAGACATCTGTCCTGTCTCCCCACCCAGCCAGCCCACAGAGGAGAACCACAATGCTGATTCGGCCCCCGAAGAAATCCAGTCTGACACCCCTGTTGTAGTGCAACTTTCAGATGACCACAGGTAACAGCTCACACATTCTTAACCTAAAGACACAGTCCTGTATATATTCCCAATATATCACCCTGTATTCAGCAAGATTTGAGGAAAATACAGTAGAGTTGCATACATATATAAAGAATGCGAACACAAGCATTGTCCTCTGATAATATAAACATGATAGCATGAACAGGCCCTGCATATAGCTTTTATTTTTGTCCCCTTTAGCTAAAAGGAAAATCACATTCCTGGAGCTCTAGTCTAATTTTAAATTATTTGACTTTGTTTAAACGACTGTGGGGTTAATTGTTTTCTTGTCATTGGAACAGATAAGTTTTAGCAGCAATCCACCTGATATCACCATTATGCATCCTCCATTAGTTTCAAAAAGTGGTAGTTAGCTTAAGCCAGTAAAGCAGAGGTTTCCAAACTTGGCAATTTTAAGACTTGTGGACTTCAACTCCCAGAATTCCTCAGCCAGCTATTCTGGAAGGATCCACAAGTTTTATTCTGAAGTCCACAAGTTTTAAAGTTGCCAAGTCTGGGGACTCCTGCAATAAGGTATGTAAGACAAAAGCATTACCCATTGCAAACTTTCATTTTGTAATTCCATCCTAATGCAGCTCTCCATGCAAAGAAGAATCCAGTAAGTGTAATACCACAACATCATGGAAAGTAAAGTTCAGAATGTTTTGTTTTGTTTTTTAGCACTGAGTGAATATGCCAGAGCAAATATGTGAATTTAGCCAGATTGCTAATTGTATGAGCAAAGTAAGGAAATCCCGGTTATGTAGCTGTTTAATCCTGGAGCAGAACACTGGGTTCTGATGTTAGAAATTGAATGAAAACTGCCCTTCAGAAAAAGAAAAAAAAATGATACTGCAACTTTAAATGAGATAAAAAAAAAATCTTGCACTGAAAAATATATTTAAGAATTATATGTTTATAAAGTTATTAATTTGTAAAGGCAGTGTTACAAAATGTTCAGTTTATATTGTTTTAGATTGTTTCATAATTTTGAAAGTGTAAAATAACATATTTTTTCTTTATAAAAAAAAAACCTATAAAATTTCTTCTGTAGTAAAATGATTTCATTTTACTGGTATATGATTGCTTCATGTTTTGTATCATTATAAATTTTGTGCAAATTTTTTTACAGAATTTTTTTATTTTCTATGACAATATGACACTTTTAAATTGTTATTTCAAAATGAACAGCAAAGCCTTAACTTTAAATGACGTTTGTATTCTCGGACACTGAATAGCATTTAAAAAAAAGGATTGAATTGTAATTTAAATTTGCAGACAATGACTACTACATTCCAAAGAAACAGTTGAATTAAACATTTTCATAAAATACCCATACATTCATGACTTTTATTATCCTTACAGCTCTGTCAATTAAAAAAAAACATTAACTTTAAGACATTCTTTAAGAAACACAATTGTAATTCATATACTGCATATCCTAAACCATCTAGCAATGAATACCACATTCAAAATTTACATTCAGGACTTCCAGAATATTCCACAAGACATTACTGTCATTAATTATCAGATACTGAGGTCAAAATTCTTCATTGAAGCTCAATTAAATTGGGGCCTCTACTAATACTCCAAATACTTCCTTGAGAACAGAAAACCAAGACAGTTTTCTGCATCTAGATGAGTTTTGCTGAATGATCTTTACAGGGATAGCAGATATTTGGAATCTTAAAAACATCTCTCACAAAATGTTTTCCATGAGAAAAAAATTTTTTGTTCCAAAATGGTTGCCATCATAAACCTAATCACTAGGCAAATGTCTTACTTAAGTTTTTGCTAAGCTTATGGGCATTTTCAAACAATGCAGCCACCCATGAATATCTATTTGTGACCTGGAAAAATGATGATAAAGAAAAATGATGCTTCAATCTGGCCTTTTAGTTTTCAGCCTTCTATTTATGTTTTAGTTTTTAAAAAAATCTAAATTAGCATTAGGTAGACGAGGGAGCATGATGAATGACAATGAAGATTGATAGCCACAATTGTACCACACTGTGTAGTTCTCATCATGGATTAACTACTAAGCGAATCAATCACAGAAATAGGACATCAAGGGAAGAAGGATACCACAGAATTCTTCCTCCTAGGTATCATGCCCCTAACTTATTTTGCTTTACCATCTTTGGTAGAGTGTTAAAAAAATTAAAAATATGATTAAGAATAGTTCTCAATAAAGTTTTGCATTTGCATTTTCCCTTTATAACAATTTTTATCAAAAATGCATTTAAACTGTTGAAAATTCGCATATTTTGTTGTTGTCCTGGTTATAATAAATAATGTGTTTATATTGCTTACTACTATTTAGTGTTAATAAAGTTTTTAAAATGGTATTTCCTTATTTATATAGTTGTGGGAATAGCCTGGAAGAAAACTGAATTTTTAAACTTCTATTTCATGTTCAGTACTTCAGCACTTACTGAGTCTTAATATTTTGTCAGTCAAGGGAAGACCAAGAGTGGTTATTGTTGAGCTGTGCCTTAAGGCATCAGTAGCTTTAATCTAGTTCTGCCATGATCTCTGAAAAACAGAACATCGTTATAGCTATACATTCTTTGACCGGGCAGTAGAATTGACAAGGAAAGAGGTAAAAGATTGACAAATGAAGAAAACAATGGCCAGATAGCATGAGACCAGCATGGTCAAAATAGGTCATAGCCTAACAAGTGTTTCTTTATAAATTTTATCAGATTTGCACAGAATCTAACTGGTCCTATTAAACATGGAACTGCAGTATTATTCTCTGGTCACTACCCCATGGAAATGGATGAATTGATTCTCCAGCAAAGAAGTTGGGCTTGGCGCTCATGAAACTGCAAAGTATAACAATCCAGCTACTTCAAATCAAAGACCTATTTCTTCCAGTACTGTATCCAGTGGTGGGATTCAGCTGTTTCACAATAGTTCAGGTGAACTGGTTGTTAAATTACCCACCCCTGCGATCAAAGTGGATCCTGGGAGCTGCACTGCACTACAATGGAGAACAGAAGAGCTGGCACAAGGGAACAGAGCAACAGAGCAGCTGGTGCAAGGGAACAAGAAGGCTGCTTTCCCTCTTTCCTGTTCCTCCTCCTTCCCTCGTGCTGGTTGATCCATTGCCCATTTCTCCAATGCAGCGCAACTTTGATAGTGAGGGGGGGCGGTAATTTAACAATCGGTTGACCCAGGGTCAGGTTGGCTGTCATGCGAGGCTCTTCCCGCATGTGAGGCAGAGCTGGAGGACAGGAATAGGCCAGACCTTGCACAACAGCCAATGGATGAACTGTTCTTTAAGTTATTTGAATCCCACTACGGACTCTAATTCTACAGTTAAAATCAGAAACCTATGCAAGGACACGATTCTAATAGCAGTCTTGCCTCCACTGCCAGCTAAAGGTTATACGGAATCATCTTCTGCCATCCAAAGATTTGCATTTTTAGAATAATTCTGGAAGATAAGCGATAGTGTCCCTTAATTTTGGTACCTTAGCCAATACCTATTCAGTCTTAGTCTAAAGCTGGCCTTTCTTCACGTTCAACAAGACATAAACACTACCATGTAATACCACATCCACATGGGATTGATCAATTGTGCAAGAACTTTATTCAACATTGGATTAAAATCGGGGAAACCCAAATTCAGCTTTAATTCAACCATAGAACCTAGATAACTTAGATTAAATATAAACCTGTTTTAC